CCATCCCTGGGGCTGGGAGACCCCATCTCTGGATCCAGGAGACCCCATCCCTGGATCCGGGAGACTCCATCCCTAGAGCTTGGAGACCTCATCCCTAGATCCAGGAGACCCCCATCCCTGGAGGTGGGAGACGCTACCCCTGGATCCAGGAGACCCCATCCCTAGAGCTTGGAGACCCCGTCCCTGGGGCTGGGGGAAGCTGCTGGATCCCCTCTCCCTCGGGATTCACCGATTTCATCCTCCCAGGCGTGGGCAGGCAGGACCTGCCATGGGTGGGAGCTGAGCAGCTTGGCTTGTGGTCGGGGGAATGGGTGGCAGGGATGGGTGGATGGAAGGGAAGGGAAGGCACTAGTTGGAGGGGGATTAACTTGAGAGAGGAGCTGCTTTGCAAGCAGGAAAAAAAAAAGAGAAGGAAACTGCCGAGCAGAGGGGGTTGGTATGGTAGGGCTGGGGGCTGCCAGCCCTGCTGCTCTGTGAGATAAAAATCATCCGAGTCCTCGGGCAGTTTTGCGGATATTTGCTGGGCAACCGTCAACATAAAGTCAAGTAAATGCCCTGGAAGGTCTGTCACCGTCAGAGCTGGACCGAGAGATCCTAAAAACAAAACCTTTCTTCCCCCTTGGGTAACACTGAACAACTCTGGGTTGCGGAGTGGTGGTGTTCCCTGCCTGCTCTTCTGGCTCTGACCTCGCTCTTGCCTTTTCTGCCCTGCTTTTGCTCTATTTTTTGTACTCTGTTCCTTTCGATGCTACCTTTTCTGGAAGCTAGCTTAATTACTTTCCTTTTCATCTGTCCAATCCCATATTTTTTCAGCCCCGTGGTATTTCTCTGGTCCCAATTTCCCTCCTCCCACCACTTCCATCTTTTTCCTTCTCACTGAGGTGGGGAGAAAGATGCTCAGGTCTCCAACCTCCAGCCCCAACCGCACACCTTGGGGTTCGGTCTGGGACCGGCCCCACCGCCCCGAGAAGTGGGGAAGTACTTGGTGGCCTCTAACCCGCTGTCGGTCCTCACCGAGCTGATAGTGATTGCGAGCCCGGCTTCCTCCGATGCTTCGCGGTTTCCCCCAGCGAAGGCCGGGTGCGGGTGCTGCACATCCTGCGCCGGGGTGAGCGCAAGTCGCAGGGGCAGAGTTATGTTGTTTTATAAACCTGCTTTGTTAAACCTGATGCTTGTCCCAGCATGGATTATTAACCTCTCTCGGGTATAAAAGCAATCGCTTTGGCTGTCATTGATAGAAATTGGGACTGATGGTGTGAAGTCAGTTTTAAGTCCACCTTCTCGCAGGACTGCTATGTTAGTTTTGTATAAACAAAAGCAAAAAATCTAGGGGAGAAGGATGCTTAGGGCAAAACAAAACAAACCAAAACAAACCAAACCTGGTTTGAAGTATTGCCTTACTTTGTCCCGGGGATTTGACTCCCTGTCGGTGAGCGTGCTCCCTGGGGAACGCCTGCCCCTCTCCGATGCTCTCCCAACCCACTCGGCCGGCAGCATCCCTGTTGCACAGTGCAGGGGGCTGGGGCGCGGGACCAGCGAGGGGTCATGAATGCCCCGAGGCCGTTGAGTAGCCCCGGGTCACCTCCCGCAGCGCGTCCCTCCGAGCAATTGCCATGTTCAGCCTCTACACCAAAGACAGAGTCTGTATGAACAGACTGTTTCTGTTTCTTGATGTCTCTTCCTCAGCAATCCCAAACTGCGTGCCTTGGCGACAGCCCTGTCCCCAGGTTTCCTGAGGTTTGGCGGCACTGAAACAGATTTTCTCATCTTTGATCCCTACAAGGATTCAACTTCGGAAGAAAAAATCCTTTGGGAACTTCAGGCCCAGCAAGGTAAAATGGGCATCAACCTCTTAGACTCAAAACTGTCCTGGGTTTAGGAGGTGGCTTTGATGCAGGCTGGGGATGTGACAAGGGATGCCACAGCGGTGCTGGTGGGGGTCTTACGCGGGGTCAGCGTGGCTCTCCTCCGTGGAGAGGGAATCTGTGGACCTTCAGCACGGTCCGTGGGAGGAGCTGTGCCAGCCGTGGGAAAGCAAGGAAGGGCACGGGGGACCTCACGTCCACCCCGGTGTCTGCTGGGACTCTCCCTTTGCTGCCTCATCCTCCTCGCGGTAGCCTTGGGAGCTCCCCCACCGCCTGGGAGGTGGTCAAGGTCAGCTCAGAAGTTGTGGTTTCATTACGAAAAGTAAGTAACGGATGGAAGAAATAATCTGATGAGAACAGAGTGTCCGTTTTCTTAATCCTGGCCAAAGGCAGAGCTAGGCTGGGGGTGCAGCCTTGCCCTCCAGTCGCTTTGAGAGGGCGAATGCAAACCCACCGGACCACTGCCGACTGCTCGAGGTTGCTCCTGGTGCGTAAGGTTTCCCACTGCATTAAAGTCCATTTCCTCTTTAAACATAGTAAAAGCACATAAACCCTTCTAGAGGTGTTTCAGATGAAAAAAATTCCAATCTATTCCTGTGGTACATAGCACAACAGTGTAAGGTACATCACCGTACAACTGGTGATGCTCAGTTTTGAAGTCGAGTGGTACTTTTCCCCTCGTAACGCTTTGCTGAGCGGCCACCTCGTCTCTGGGTAATGGTGGCACCGGCTCATGCCTTGCTCTCTGATTATGGCTTATTCCTGGTTTACATGCCACAAAAGACCATGAGCTTTGAAGAAAAAGCATCTATGATTCCCACTGGTGTTGCCGCTGGAGCAGTGCAGGGTAGCCGGCGCTTTCCCCTGCCCGAGCCGGGCAGCGCAGGAAGCATTGCCCCGTATCTGCCGACAGCAAGGCAGCCCAGGAACCCTGCCCTAGCCCTGCCCGCTTATCTGCTCCTCGGGCACCGCAGCCCGCGCTTCGTCAGCTCACTGGAACGAGGATTTCCGGATGGTGCTGCTCCTAAAATAGTTTATTGGGGTGTGACCGCCATGATCCCAGCCTCCAGAAGCACAACTCGGTCTTTTCCCGCTCACCCATCTCCATCACCATCAATTTGGAAATACACGTTATATAGATATATATATAAAATACATTCCAGCCAGCCCTCTTTTTCTACGTGGTTAATGTTGTAAAAGTAGTTTCATGGAAGTGCACGGCTGGCTCTCAGCCTGCATCCCCTCCCGAGGGATGCAGCCCTTCGGACCCCGGCCCCTGGCCGTGAAGACGAGGATTTAATTGCTATCCATCCTCCTTCTGCCCTGCAGAGGCTTGTGGCTCCAGACCTGCGTTTGCTGCTGTTGAGGAGGTGCTGCGGGCCCAGTGGCCCAGCCAGGAGAAGCTGATTCTTGCAGAGCACAACCGGAAAAAACACAAAAACACCACCATTACAAGTAAGACTTCGATGGATTTTTCTGCTAGGGTTTATCACCCAGGGGTTGCAAATCTCCGCCCCACAGCAAAAGGGTCGTAGGCTGTTAGGAGCTGAAACCGCTGAATGAGAAACATTTCCCCCCCTTAGAAAAATATTCAAAGAAATCTTTTTCTACTGTCTGCCACCTCGTATTTAATAGCGTTCAGCTGCTGCAGGAGTTGGGGGGATCTCAACGCCTTGCCAGGGTGGTGTGGAGTTAAGGTCTGGGCTCTTTTGTCCGGCTGGGAGAGCTTGGCGTATCTGCAGCACCAGCCTAAATAAACACAGGCACTAAAGTTTGGTGCTTGGCCGGAGCTCAACTAGCACGCCGTAACCTTCAGATAAACATCCTCCCTTTCTCCTCCGTGCAGGAAATACGTTGGATATTCTCTACAGCTTTGCAAACTGCTCAGGGTTTCATCTGATCTTTGGGCTCAACGCCTTGCTGCGGAAAGACGGCTTGCGGTGGGACAGCTCGAATGCCCGGGCGCTGCTGGACTACTGCTCCTCGCAGAGGTACAACATCTCCTGGGAGCTCGGGAACGGTAAGTGGGAAGCTGGTCTGTGGGCCAGCGGTCACCTGGGGAGGTACCACCGCGGGGTACGGGCTGGTAATTTTGGATGCTTTGGATGATGGCCTGTAAAAGCAAGGTGATGTTTTATTGGGAAATATTAAGGTCTTAATTTGTCAGGAGGGATTTCACAAAAGGTCCAGCGAATGAGCAAACTGAGATGATTTTGCTGCTCCTACCAAGGCTCTGAGATGAGGTGAAGGATGCTCTGTGAGGTGCAGGATGTCACCCATGGGGACTGGCTGGGACAGGGTGCCGGAGGGCTTTTGGTTTCATGCTTGTCACCTTCAAATATCTCGCCCGTACCATTGCCAGCCCACGTGAAGCCCCCTACTCCCCACGTAGAACGAGCCGCCTTATTTTGTACCCCAAACCCAGCGTGGGGTGCTGATGCGCCCGTGTCTTCCCCAGAGCCCAACAGCTTCAGAAAGAAATCTGGGATCTACATCGACGGCTTCCAGCTGGGACAAGATTTTATTCACTTACGCCAACTTCTGAGTAACTATAGCCTCTACCGGCACGCGAAGCTCTACGGTCCCGACGTCGGGCAGCCCCGAAAGCACACGCAGAGACTGCTGAGAAGGTAGGGGGGGGGGGGGTCCCGGGAGGACACC